CTATGCCCTTGCCTTCCAGAACCTTCTAACCATTCAACTCCTTTATTTTTATTGTTTTGTGCCAAGGACTCAATCCCAAGTTTCATCTTTGTGCGGGCTGTCCTCTCCAGGTCTTGTCTCCTGTGCAGTAGCGAGTACTGGAGTGCTTCACCTTCACACCACAAGGTTACTATAGCTTCTCTCTCTCTCTCTCTCTCTCTCTCTCTCTCACACACACACACACACATACACATGCACACGCACACATCATTGCCATTAAGCTGATTCTGACTCACAGCAACCCGACAGGACAGAGTCGAACTGTCCCTGTGGATTTCTGAGGCTGTAAATATCGACAGGAGTAGAAACCCTCATCGTTCTCATGTATACAAACATACACACACACACACACACACACATATACACATATATACATATCTTTTTTTCTTATGATTTTGCAAGCATTGCTCCCCAACTTCCGACTGGGTTCTGTTGCCCCCTTGCTGAAGCTGGCTGACCCCATACGGAGCCTCCCACTGCCCTGGCCTCTGTCACTGGTTTTCCCAAAGCAGCGACTCCATGGAGGAAGAAAGCCGCTGCCTCGCCCAACCCAGACAACATTCCCTCTGTTTGAGAACATTTCTTAAGAGAGTTCTAACCTCACATTTCTGTTCCAACTATTAGAGACGGAGGCTTGAAGCCTGGCTCCGCCTGTCTGCCTGGGCACCAGGCTCCTCTGTGTGAAGGGGCACTGGGAGCTGCATGGGAGGGTCAACTGTCTGTAAAACAAAGCCCTGTGAGGACAGGCGCGTCACCTACTCACCTACGTGTTTCTCAAAGAGCAGCTTCTCTTGAGAGACTTTGATACTTAAAGTGACTCGATGCTCTTTCTTCTCTAGCTCATTCATTCATTCTTCATTCATTCATTATTGGAACGCTTGGGGCTGAGTCCAAAGGTTAGGCTCAGGGCAAAGTTGGGTTGGCCTGCCAGTGGATTTAAGTCAATAGGGGGAAGCTGAAGGGCAATTGGATTTGAACAGAGATTTGGGGGCTGGGTTACCCAACCCTGCTTACGTCTCCCATCAAGCTGGTCAACCCTAAGCTTGCGTGGCTTGGCCTAGCCAGCTGCCCCGGTACAGAGACTGCGGCTGTCTCTGCCCTTACCTTCCTCTCCCTTCCCTCCTTTCTGTTCTAAACCCCACCTGCTGAAAGCCATCCTGCCCCTGATGCCCAGGAAGAAGTTGTAAGCAAGGAAAATCACGTGGTCTCTGACAAGTTGTCTTCCGAGAAGCAAACCAGACAGACCCTCCTAGGCTGCCTGAG